GCGTATCGGGCGAGTGTCACTGTCGATTGATACAAGTGAGGTCTGTCTCCAACACTTGTTGGATTTGCCCTTTATTGAACTAAAACAGTCCATAACAATTGCAATGTCGGCCGTCAACATCCTCAAGTTCGGCATCTCCTCGCCGGGAGATACCTCCCCCCTGGAGGAGCTCAAGCGTGCTGGGTATGATGCCTCGCAGATTATCGCCGTTATTGGCAAGACAGAGGGTATGTTTCATCCTCTGCTCTCGCATGTGCCATGTATTAATTAGTGACACCAGGTAACGGTTGCGTCAACGACTTCTCGCGCACCCTGGCGGCAGTGGTGTGGGAACCACTGATCCCCAAGGACGCCATCACCATCTTCTCCGGCGGCACAGAGGGCGTGCTCTCGCCTCATGTCGCTTTCATCGTGCGTGCGAAAGAGGGTGTAGAGACCGGCCTCGTCGCTGCCGTAACACATACGAGAGACTTTGAGCCGCACGAGATAGGCACCAAGTTCCAGGCGGGAGAGGTCGCGAATGAGGTCGGAAAGGTACTGGACGATGCAGAGTTTGGGCAGGCCAGCCTCGTACTGATCAAGTGCCCGTTGTTGACCACGAGCAAGATCGACAGCATCAAGGCGCGGGGAAGGGTGCCTCTCACAACCGACACTTATGAGTCCATGGCTCTGTCGCGATACGCTTCCGCCGTGGGTATCAAGGCTGCCGAGGCGGGTCGGATGTATCAGGACCATGCTCTCGTTGGAAAGATTGTCGAAAGCATAGACGAAGGGAGCCATAGGGCAGGCTGGTCCCGCATCGCCAGTTGCAGTTCCGGCGCGGAGCTCGAGAACTGCCATATACTCGTTCTTGGAACCTCCAAAACACCTGGCAAGCTTCGAACCATCTCTACGATCATGGAGGACGCCATCGACGCAGCTTCTATCCTCCGCTCTCTTGAGCAGATAAAGCAGGAAGGTGGCGAGGTTCTCCAAGTTTTCGCCAAAGCAGAAGCTGATCCAACTGGTCTGGTGAGGGGAAAGAGACACACCATGAGCACAGACAGCGACATCCACGGCACCAGACACGCGCGGGCTGCGGTGGGCTGTCTGCTTGCAGGCTTGACGGGTGATACGCAGATCTATGTCAGTGGTGGCGCCGAGGGACAGGGACCGCCTGGGGGTGGGAGCCTGGTGTTTGTCTATCGCGTGCCGTAGGTTGAATGACGCATGAGGAGCGAGGATGAGGGAAAGTACAAAGGTGAAGGTCGTGTCCGATGATGAGCCAGGAAGATGTAGATGCCATCCAACCACAAGATAGCTATCTCATGGTGTCTCTCAATGGATGTTTTCCCTGAAGATCCATTGAGTGCCTCTCACTGGGCTGGCCACGCCGTGTGACCGTCTCGAGACGCGTACTTTAAGTCGTCCAGTCGTCGGGTCAAATACAAGTCGTGAGTTGAAATGAAAAATAAAACGTGATGAGATAGGGGTCACCTAACATTCACGGAGGGTTAGGGTCGGGCCCACTGAATCTGGGAGCGGAGAATCTCCCCCGCCAAAAGGGGGTCCAAGCTCCCCGCGTCTGGTCTCCTTATCGATAAGGTGTTACTCACGACATCAGCCGAAGCGCATCGAATCGCATTATCGATGACTCTACCACGCCGTCGCGAAGACTCATTCGCCGAACATGTACCTCTGAGTATAAGTTATTCGTCCACAGGCTCTGTCTTCCTCTTGTCTCTTCGGCTCCTTCTTCTCTCTACACATCACAATATGACACAATCGCATACAGCCACAGCAATGATCACACGAATACGAAACTAAACCCACTATCCCTCGACATCTACACCACCATGACGAGCAAACAGTTGCCGCACGAGAAGCGGAAAGGCGAAGCCGCCCTACGCGAGTTCACCGAGTACGTCGAGGAGCAGCAGGAGCTGCGGTTCCCCTCCCATCACCACAAGACCGCCACCGTCACCACTACCACTACCACAACCGACGTCGAACACCACGACGAACTAGACGACCTGCTCGACAACCTCGACCTGACAGAGCACAAGCCGCAAGTCAAGCTACGCGACCTCCTCCTCTCCACCGACGACACCTCTCTAAAACAACTGGCCGACCTCCTCGTCGAGCGATTGAGCGAGGGCTTCGGCGAGACCGTCTTCGAGATCGGCTACGAGAACAACGGGGAGAGCCAGAAGTTGACCGCCGACGAGTTCGCGACGGCGCAGAAGAGGCTGGGTGAGGCCGCTAAGCAGGCGAGGGCGGACTGTCAATTGCTGATAACTAAGAATGTCGGCGGTGAGGTAGAGGGCCAGGCCGGCGGGAAGGGGGACAGCGGGTGCAGTGGCAAGGTCATGGTAAGACAGGTGCCGCGGACGGTGGAGGATGTTATTGAGACAAGGATTGCTGTTGTTGGGAACGGTAAGTACTCCCGGTCCTTCCTGAACCGAGAGTCGAGCATGTCAGTGCGGTAACGAGATGATCGTCGTCTCGTCCCCCCAATCGTGCGACGTCCAGTCGTCCGTTCACTGCTGACCCATACCAGTGGACGCGGGCAAATCCTCGATGCTCGGCGTTCTAGTCAAAGGCGACCTGGATGACGGCCGCGGGCGCGCACGGGTGAACCTGTTCCGGCACAAACACGAGATAGAGACGGGTCGCACCTCCTCCGTGGGAATGGAGATAATGGGCTTCGATACCCACGGGCAGGTAGTCACCTCCGACGTCCCCGGGCGCAAGCTCTCCTGGGAGGAAATTGGCAAGCGCAGCGCCAAAGTGATAACCTTCACCGACTTGGCCGGCCATGAGCGGTATCTCCGCACCACCGTCTTCGGTTTGTTGTCCAGCAGCCCGAACTACTGCCTGCTCATGGTGGCGGCGAACAACGGCCTGATCGGCATGAGCAAAGAGCACCTGGGCATCGCCTTAGCGCTAAACGTGCCGGTCATGGTGGTCATCACCAAAATCGACATCTGCCCTCCGCAAATATTGGAGCAAACCATTGCCCAGATCACAAGAATACTGAAGTCCCCGGGCGCGAGGAAAATCCCGATCTTCATCAAGAATCGCGAAGAGTGCGTCAACACCGCCACGCAGTTCGTTTCTCAGCGAATATGTCCCATCTTCCAAGTCTCTAACGTAACGGGTGAGAACTTGGACTTGGTGCGGACATTCCTAAACATCCTGCCGCATCACGGCCGGTACGATGCCGACGCCCCCTTCGAGTTCCACGTCAACGACACCTTCTCCGTGCCGTTCGTGGGCACCGTCGTGTCGGGCATCATCAAATCGGGCGTCATCCACGCCGGGGACAACATTCTCATCGGACCCGACAGTCTGGGGAACTTCACACAAACGAGCGTCAAGTCCATCGAGAGGAAGAGGATCGGCGTGCCCGCTGCTAGTGCGGGGCAGAGCGCCAGTTTTGCGCTGAAGAAAGTGAGGAGGAAAGACGTGCGGAAGGGCATGGTGGTGTTGCCCAAGATTGAGGGCGCGCCGTTGCCGAGGGTGCATCGGGAGTTTGTTGCTGAGGGTATGTGATTTCCCCCCCTTTGTCTAACATTCCGTGAACGATGCGACGAAGAGACGAGACGATTCGAAAGCTATGGGACGAGGCCGACCCTGTATGAGGTGATACGATGACACGAGACATGAGACGATGGACGGTTCGCCGGCATACCGTTTCTCATATTGAAACGACCAGACGAACCATCCCTCAACCACCGTATGGGAAAACCCGCGTAAACCTCGCTAACAAATGCTCGTATCACAGTCCTGATCCTCTCCCACGCCACCACCATAAAAACCAAATACCAAGCCATGCTCCACGTCGGCCCCGTCTCGCAGACCTGCGCCATAATCGACGTCGACCGCCCCTTCATCCGCACAGGCGACCGCGCGACCGTCGCCTTCCGCTTCGTGCAGCGGCCGGAGTATCTCGCTCCCGGAGATCGGCTCTTGTTCAGGGAGGGCAGGACTAAAGGGCTCGGCATCGTCAAGAGCGTGGGGTACGATGCTTCCAAGCCGCTGCGGCGGAAGGAGGATGGGGAGGAGGAGGATGAGGGGGCAACGGTTGCTGGGACGGGGAGGGGGAATGGCGACACGGAGGCGGTTACGGCGGCGTGATTGATGGGATGAGCGATGCATTTTTTAGGCGTTTGGGAAGCGTGTTTGGCTGTGTTTGCGCCGTTGGGCAGTGTACATACTGGCTCAAACTTGCTGATAGGTAGCGCGCAGGGTATTTATCATTGTGCTTTTCTCGGGTGAATGAGTGTTATACTACGGGTGGTTCAAGCGCCTCTGTTCGTCTCATAGATTTTCGACTAAGAGTACCTTGGTATTCATCATTGTGCTTTTCTCGGGTGAATGAGTGTTATACTACGGGTGGTTCAACCGCCTCTGTTCGTCTCATAGATTTTCGACTATGAGTACCTTGGTTTCCATATTCGTCTAGTCGTCCAGTCCACCCGTCCGTCCGTCATACCTGTCAACGTCGTAACGTCCGTTATCCCGTCATTTGCTATACTCGATTAAGACATCGTCCACATCAAAGGCCCATGCATAGCCCGGAGGTCTCGGTCAGTCCCGGTGGTCAGTAGAACATAGACTTCCCTCGCCCTGTTATACATCCCAGCATCAGTAACCTCGTCTGGGAGGGAGGCTTGCCTGTTCTGTCAAGCAAACCCCGTTAGAGCGAGCCTGAATATGAAGAATCCTACTTTCCAACCTCGATTGACACACATGCAAGGGTGGTTATCCCGCAGTTCTCAGTCCGCCCATCCTCGCCCTGTGAATCAAGTCCCATGGGCGAACCGCCTTGCGCCTATGGCATCCGTGAGTTCCGTATCCATGTATTTGGCAGGCACACACGCATAGGTACTGGTCCAAGTCTTTTGGAAACAGTAAGACAGCGAAACAGCAAAAAAATAGTAAGTTAAGACACCAGAAACGCCTACAAAAAAAAAAACGACTTCTTACGTCCCTCGGACACGAAGTATGACAACATATGCGGTTTGTGTGGATCGAACACACGACCTTCAGATTAACACCAGGTGATAGAAGTTGACTTCAGTCTGACGCTCTCCCAACTGAGCTAAACCCGCGGCGATGAAGGAGTTGGTGAGCAACTGCGCGTTATGACTCGTGGCGAGGGTGAAACTGTAGCTGACTCGCTTGGTGGAGGTTGGGTTGTGGATGTGTGGATGGGATGTGTTGCTGTTATGGATAGGGGGACGGATGGGTATGGAGAGGAGTCCGCGGTTAGTTATGGATATGGAGATGGATATGGATGGGTCTGTGGTGTTGAGGGGGTTGGAGAATCAGGGGGTCCATCGAACATGTGCTTGTTGAGGCTCCATCGAGGGGAGGTCCCGGAGGAAGCTCCGGGCGGGAGATCGTCGATGGAGGCGCGACGTGATGGAAAGAAACCATCTCTCTAAATGGCCAAAGGTAGTCTTGTTGCTGATGGGGAAGCTACTTGGTAGACCACGATCGAGCTCAGCAGCACTGGGTTACTCGTGCCCTTTGGCGACACTGAACCCAGGCCTGAAGTTCGGAGAACATCACGTCAACAGCAAAAGATATGCGCCCATCCCCATGACACCGATCTCCTTGAGATGTCCTGCTAGAGGATCTATAACCTCACCAATAAAGAGTTGCCCCTGCAACGACAACATGCCTCCCAGAGGCAACGTTGCGAGGGAAAGTTTTGGACCGGACGCCCCTGAGTACCTTTGTGAATCATGTCCTGCATATCATAGCCACAGCAACTTAAACCAGCAGAGTAAACTGTTCGTGAAGTTTTTCACGATGCCATCTCCAACCGAGAGTAACCGCAGTGGATTCGCAAAGAATCTCTTCTTCTCCAGGATCAGACCCGGGAAACACGAAAGAGAGAAGAAGAAAAAAAGCTTGCCCGGCCGAAATGCGGAACCTTCATGTTCGGGCCGTGATCTCGACTCGCGCTTCCTCCGGGGCTCACCTTGCCGCACCGGTGGAGATCTTCACAGAAGAAACGGATCCATCTCTTCTCCCCGTCGTCATCAAGCGAGGAAGCTAACGTTAGCTCTCCCGGTAGCAATGACGAACTAACTAACTCCACCCGGGGGTACGTAAACCGGCCACCTCCTAGCTTGCCGAAAAGCGATGGAGTCAATCTCTCCGGCCAGGTCCGACGATGCTCTAACAATGTGAACACCAATTCCCGAGTTCTGGCGGTCGGGTTCGTAAATGGAGGAGAATTTGATGAAGTCTTCAGGGGTCTCCACAGATGACCAGAGATTTTCGCAGGGCCGCCAGGCGCAGCGTTGCATCCCGGCACAAACAGATCTGGGAAATCCGACCCCTGTATCAGATCAGATGGAATAACTGATTGCTAGACCTAACAGTGGCCTCAGGGCTGTTCCAGACTGCTGAAGCCTGTAAGTCTAAACCTTCAGCTGCTGCAGTGATTTTCTCGTCGGAGAGAGACTCAGGGGCCTAATAAGGGGCACCGGTGAAATCATACCAGACTTCTAGCGGTGAGCAGGCTTCATTCACCCCTTCCAGACAGTGAGCTTGTATGAGATGGATAATAGGTAAACCACGCATGCAGGTCCAGTAGGTATGTCTGGACCGTGCCGTAGCAAACGTGATCAATCCCTCATAAAAGAATGGGAGAACAACAACCCCCGGCAGTCAGTGCTGTCGAGCAAACCGCGAGATATTTATGCCACCAGTGTCGACGCCAACATCGCCAAGTAGAGCAGCAAAGGATGTCATCACAGGTGTGGTGACACAGCGCCTCTAGCGTTGTCCGACTTGGCCATCTTGGGATTTCTTCGACGGCGTCTCTTGTTTGCGGGGAGAGGGGGGGATGTGATCTTCAAGAAGAACTACTAGACGGCTACAGTCTAAAGCTCCGCGGAGAAAGTAAATACTCCGTCGACATCACCACATGGCCGTGCCGCGATGGTTGTAATTGGGCGTGATGTCACCATTTCGTGACCGTCTGGCGTGAGAAAGGGCAACATGCCAGAAGGACATGTCATCAGACTGTGCCTGAGTGAGATGCACTGTTGTGGCAAGTCAGCATCATCCAAACTTTCGAGATGGTCAGATCGCAGGGAACCGTTGTTCGGGCCGGGAACTACCACTCCGGCGTCGATGTGAGCTTCGGGACAGCCGCCAGGAACGACAAGACGCCTTCCCGCTTCGATTTCCCGCGGGGAATGCCGACGAAAGAAGAAATGGCTGAAAACAGGGTCACCACACTCCAAGTGAGAAAAACTTCTTTTTCACCTGGGTGGATCTGCGGACAACGAGTGGGACGGGGCGATTTAAGGCTGAGCCTAAAATGACGGGTAGGTACGGCGCTACCGCTGTTTTGGCAGTCGTAGCCCCACCAAGTCCCCAGCAGGTGACCCCGCTGAGAAAACGCCGTGATGCGCCCATGTGACGTGAAGTTTTGGCGCTGGCGCTGTTGGCAAATACGGCCTTCCATAGTTCCCTCCCAGACGGCTTGTCTGCTTGCGGGCAATGTTTAGTATATGCTGCATACCTACCTTGCGGACCTCAATGGCATCGTCAACAGCTCCAACAACAACAACCACAGTTAAACATGGCTTTCGCCAGTATGTTCTGGGCTCCAGCTGGGCAGCACGGTGCTAAACACGATGACCGCAGCATCGGTACGGGGGCCTCTCTCCCTTCCTCATCCTCATTGGGACGTTATTCAAGACGATATGTCATTCAGTCTCTGAGCCCTGGAGTTGGGGATCTCAGTTGGTGTTGGTGATCGCTAGAGCTGACTTACACGGCCTCGGCGCTGCATTGCCTTGTGGAGTTGAATAGAGCTGATGCCACTGGAATGTGAGGTGAGGCCAGTTGCACAGCGACAAGATGTTGCTGTCGATGCACTCTCAAAGTAAGGCAGGCCTGGAACCATTCATAAAACCTCTGCCATTGACGCCCTGTTGCGCCGTAGAGAGGGATGAGTGAGAAGTCAATTACTGCTGTCATGGGCGTGGATGACTGCGAGACGGAGAGATCTCGGCCCGCCACTTACACAGTCCTCGAGAGAGTCCAAGACATTGCCAATGGCTGGCTGGTACCACTCTAGCCGTAGAAACAACCGGAGTACGCTGTGGATCTACCATCGGCCCAGCTTCCGTGCCCCTGGGATCTCGATCTGCGCAGTGTGCTGCAAGAAAAAGAGGAAAACTCTGGCCAGGCCTTGCACGCCTTGCATGTCACCACCAAGTCCTTCCCTGCTTGGCGCAACCTGGAGGAGAGTGTTGACACATAATTAGCTAAAAGCAACCACTGCTACAGGCCCAACTAACGAACACTCACCAACAGGGCCCTGAACGGTGTGATGCGAATGTCTGACTGTTTTTTTCCATTCATATTTGAATGGGCATTCCCCGGGATCTGCTAATGGTGATTTCACCTTTTGTTATTTATCCTCTTGTTTTTGGCGCTTTTGCATTATCTAATTTGCATCTGTTGCCCTTTTACGAAGCTACAACTGAATTGTTGCTGTCGTGTTCATAACTGAGACTTACACGCACCCACCAGACTGACAGCAACAACACGCACACTTACACACTTATACCCGCTCACACACATCTAACGGCCTCTCCGAAAATAACGACCTCTGACGTAACGGCCCTTAACGATTGCCCAATTCCAACGACTGCACTCGAGAATATCTTACCAGACTCACAATCGACCTCTACACCGCCAGCCACCGCTCTATTGCAAAGAGCTGTGTCCAGGGGAAAAGAACAAGCTGGCCGACCAACGAACTCTTCGCTGCAGCACGTCTGCCAAACCGCCCTAGCGCCAAGCAAGAACCAAGGCAAGGCTTTCAAAACGGCAGGTGCGAGTCATCAGCTGCATCACCAGACCAGTGTGTGGGAAACGGAAAGCACACTACGGTACCCCAGAAAATACGACGGTCGCGAAAAAGGGCCATTGCATCATCCCACAGGCCGCTTGCGATCGCCCGAAGAAAAACGAAGCAGGCTCCGAGCTGAGGAGAAAGCTAAAAAAGATCGGAAGGTGCACTTCAAACCTCGTGACGACGGACTGCAGGAGCCCTGCTGCCATCCAGGTTGCCCCTCCCCCGCCAAATATATTCTTTCCGACCTCGGCTCGACGCTAGACAGGGATTGGACGCTTAGATAGTTGATCCGCCCGATAAAAGGTGAGGTCACACCTTTGTCACAGTTACAATGCCACACCGAGTCGCGTCCTTCTTCAAGGCCTCCACCAATTCGCTAGAATCGCATGTGCTGAACCTCAAGAAGAACGCCACACGCAGGGCCAGGACGGACTCGCCCACCAGATCACAGCCAAACAACGCGGTTGCCCGCGCATCCGGCAGCTCGGAGAGGGTGTACACATATGCTTCGAGCGTAGAGGACGTCGACTCGGAGGACTCTGCCCCGCCATACACGCCGCAGGACGAGAGGCCACCGGTGTTACGTCAGAGGAGGAAGATGGTTGAACGGGCGCAGAGCTACGACTCGGAGAAGCACAAGGACCACCACCACAGGATATCCTTCCCGGGGATTCATCTCGGTCGCAGCTCGAGTTCAAAAGATGGACTGTTCGGCACCAGCAGCACGCCCGCAACGCTGGACTGGAAGCTGGAAAGCCCACCCATCGTCTTCTACGGCGACGCGGAGAACAGCTCGGGCGCATTGGTCTCGGGGCAGCTGTACGTGGACGTCAAGAAAGAGGAGGGCATCGAGCTGGAGTCCTTCGACGCGGTGCTCAACATCCACGTCGTGCAGAAGAGGCCCTACGTCGCGCACTGCCACGACTGCACGAACCAGTACACCGAGCTGAAGAAATGGATCTTCTTGCAGCAGCCTCTGGTGCTAGGAAAAGGGAAACACTCCTTTCCCTTCTCCATCCTGCTCGAGGGACACCTGCCCACATCAATGGACGGTTCCCTGGTCAGCATAACCTACGAGTTCAAGGCCGAGGCAGTCCCCAGATCCGACCCGCACCACATCATCAAACTCGAGCGTACCCTCGACGTGAAGCGCTCCCTTCCCGAGCACGAGACACCGCACCACTCCGTCCGCGTCTTTCCCCCAACCAACATCAAGGC